TCTGGCGCCCCTTCATATCTTACACCTTAGGCACTTCACTTGTCTCATCGTAGTACTGGCCCAGTCCTCCACATCCCCACCAAAACATGAAAGAATATGTGTAGACTTGGTATTATTTTTTTCCTTAAATGTTTGGTAGAATTCAATAGTGAAGCCATGTGGACCTGAGTTTTTTTGTGGAAAGGTATTTAACCACACATCAATTTTTTAAATAAACATAAAGTTATTTCAAATATATAAAGTAATTCCTCTTGAGAGAGCTTTGGTAATTTGTGTCATTCCTTGAATGACATAAAATATATATTATACGAATTTATAAATATATAAATATTAAAGTTATTTCAAAAATATAAAGTAATTCTTCTTGAGAGAGCTTCGGTAATTTGTGTCATTCAAGGAATCTGTCAGTTCATCTAAGTTGTTGAATTTATTGGCATAAAGTTGTTCATAATATTTCATTGTTAGCCTTTTAATCTCCGTAGAATCTGTGGTGGTGTCACCACTCTCATTCTTGTTATTGGTGATTTGTGCCTTCTCTCTTTTCTTCCCCAGCAGTATTGCTCGAGGTCTGTCAATTTTATTATCTTCTCCAAGAACCAGCTTTAGGTTTCACTGATTTTCTCTATTTTCTATTGCACTGATTTTGACTTTGATATTTATTTCTTTCCTCTGCTTATTTTGGTGTAAATTTGCTCCTCTTTTTCTAGCTTTTTAAGGTAGAAGCTGAGGTCATGGATTTCAGATCATTCTTCTTTTCTAATACATTTATTGCTATAAATTTCTCCCTAAGTACTGCTGGAATAGCATCTCATAAATCCTGATATGTTGTATTTTCATTTCCACTCAATTCAAACTACTTTCTAATTTCCCTTTCCTCTTTGACCAACATTTTATTTAGAAGTGTAAGTTTTGGCTTCCAAATATTTGTGGATTTCCACATAACATTTCTGTTATTAATTTCTAATTTAATTCTATTGTGGTCAGAGAATATACTTTGTATAACTTGAAGCCTTCTAAATATATTAACATTTGTTTTATGGTCCAGATTATGGTCTATCTTGATAAATGTTCCATGAACACTCAAGAAGAAGATATATTCTTTTGTGTTGCATGAAATGTTCTTTAAATGTGTTCTCTTAAGTTAAGGCAGGTTGGTTGATAGTGTTGTTCAAGTCTACTATATACTTGCTGATTTTCTGTTTTTGCTTGTTCTATCATTTATTGAGAGACAAGTTTTGAAATCTCCAACCATAATTGTGAATTTGTCTATCTCCCCTATAAAGTTCCCAGTTTTTGCTTCATGTATTTTCAAGCTCTGTTATTAGAGGCATAAATGTTTAGAATTATTATATCCTCCTGATTAACTGACAGCTTTAACATTATAAAATAACCTTCTTTATCCATAGTAATAGTCTTTGCTCTGAAATCTACTTTGGCTGATATTAATATAGCCACTCCAGGTTTCTTCTGACTGGTGTTAAGCCTGGTATATCTTTCTCTACCCTGTTACCTTTAAATGTTTTGCATCTTCATATTTAAAGTGCATTTCTTATAGGCAGCATATAGTTGGGTCTTGCTTTTTCATCTGATCTCACAATCTCTGCCTTTTAATTGGGGTGCTTACACATTTACAGTTAATGTGATTATTGATAGGGTTAGGTTTAAGTCTATCATGTAGGTGTTTATTTTCTTTTCGTCTCATCCATCTATTCTGTGTTCCCTTTTTACTCTTTTTGTGTCTTTGGATTGAGACTTTTTTTAATTCCATGTTATCTCTTCCATTGGCTTATTAGCTATAATTCTTTGTTTTGTTATTTTAGTGGTTGCTTTATTAAAATATATACATAATATATCATTATTTGATATTGTTCATCCCCCCTGCTAGAAATTTAAGCTTTGTAATGGAGGGACTTGGTGTCTGTTTTGGTCTGCTGTATCCCTAGTGTTAGAACAGCACCAGGCATATGGAAGGCACTCAATAAAAATTTTATCAATAAATGGATAAATAGAAAAGCCAAATTGTAGTTATGAGATGTGAGACTAGAAATCATTGAAAAGAAGGTGTATTAAAGCTCATCCACTTAACAACATCCAGACAGTTAGATGTGATCACTGAAAACAGAACACAAAAACTCTAGATGGGGCCAGCCTAATGGTTAAGTTCGGTGCACTCAACTTCGGCGGTGTGGGTTTGGTGGCTCAGATCCCTGGGGCAGACCTACGCCACTTGTCGGCAGCCATGCTGTGGCAGCGACCCACATACAACATAGAGGAAGATCAGCACAGATGTTAGCTCAGAGCAAATCTTCCTCAGCAAAAAGAAAAAACAAAACCCTAGACTGTATATGGCAATATACACATAAAAAGGTAAATAATATTTACAGGTTCTGTACAAAAATATTAAGTAGGACTAAAAATGAACCAGATACTGTATAGTATTAATGTCAATAATATAGCCAAATTCAGCCTATTTTCAAATTATAAAAAGAATAATCAAGTGAAATAAAATCAGCTAAATGCAAATTAGTCTTGCTAATAACAAAAGTATAAAAAGGAATAATTATAAAATTATAAATAAATATCTCCTATACAAACTTCCACTTATAAAATAAATAAATCATGGGGATGTAATATAAAGCATGGTGACTATAGTTAATAATACTGTATTGCATATTTGAAAGTTGCTAGGAGAGTCGATCTTAAAAGTCCTCATCACAAGAAAAAAATTTTTTTGTAACTATGTATGGTGATGGATGTTAACTAGACTTATTGTGGTGATCATGTCACAGTATATACAAATACTGAATCATTATCTTGTACACCTGAAACTAATATAACGTTATGTCAATTATACCTCAATAAAAAAATTTTTTTGAATATCCCCTGTACAACTTTAATGATGACTTTTTTAAAGATTGAAATGATAAACAGAATTACATTAATAACAATCACTTACTAAAAATAAAGAACAGGCCATCTCAAACTCAGCACTGCACTCACTTCTCGCTCTCAGAACCCAGTTTAGAGCAACATATTATGTCTACAGATATTAAGACTATCTGCTAGAGCTAATGCTCTATTAAATTGTCTGTGGTGAAGGAGAGGCATAGAAACAATCCCACTCTGATCATTTCTTAAACCTCACAAATCATCTAGGCTTTACAGGCTTAACAGAATCATTTTCTCCTTAGTAGGCAGGGTAGATTTCATGTTGGTTCTTTTTTTTTTTTTTTTGTGAGGAAGACCAGCCCTGAGCTAACATCTGACGCCAATCCTCCTCTTTTTTCTGAGGAAGATTGGCCCTGAGCTAACATCCGTACCCATCTTCCTCTACTTTATATGGGACGTGGCCACAGCACGGGTTGACAAGCGGTGTGTCGGTACACGCCTGGGATCCAAACCGGGGAACCCCGGGCCGCCACAGAGGAGCGCGTGCACTTAACCACTTGTGCCACCAGGCCGGCCCCTCATGTTGCTTCTTAACACCATTAGGAATGTCATTCTGAAAAATCACTACAATAAGAGAAATATATTCACACATATCTAAGTAAAGAATTAAATACAATCCAGGACAGTAGAATGTGTATGAATAGGAAAGAATACCATATGCTCATCAAAGATTATTGGTCAAAAGCTATAATATATCAAACTAAAAGTCTTTCAATTATTTTTGACCTGACTATAACTAACTTCAAGATTAGATATTACCTGGCAGTACACCCTTTGACATCGGTCTTAGCAGCATCTTTTCAAATACCATGTCTACTCAGGCAAGGGAAACAAGAGAAAAAATAAACAAATGCAACTACATCAGGCTAAAAAGCTTCTGCAAGGCAAAGGAAACCATCAACAAAACAAAAAGACAACCCACCAACTGGGAGAAAATACGTGCAAATCATACATCCGACAAGGGCTTAATTTCCAAAATATATCAAGAATTCATACAACTCAACAACAAAAAAACAAACAACCTGATCAAAAAATGGGCAGAGGATATGAACACACATTTTTTCCAAAGAAGATATACAGATGGCCAATAGGCACATGAAAAGATGTTCAACATCACTAATCATCAGGGAAATGCAAATCAAAACTACAATGAGATATCACCTTACACCTGTTAGAACGGCTATAATAACCAAGACAAAAAACAACAAATGTTGGAGAGGATATGGAGAAAAGGGAACCCTCACACATTGCTGGTGGGAGTGCAAACTGGTGCAGCCACTACGGAAAACAGTATGGAGATTTCTCAAAAAATTAAAAATAGACATACCATACAACCCAGGTATTCCACTACTGGGTATTTATCCAAAGAACTTGAAATCAACAATTCAAAGAGACTTATGCACCCCTATGTTCATTGCAGCATTCTTCACAATAGCCAAGATGTGGAAGCAACCCAAGTGCCCATCAACTGATGAATGGATAAAGAAGATGTGATATATATATATACAATGGAATACTACTCAGCCATAAAAAAAGACAAAATCGTCTCATTTGCATCAACATGGATGGAACTTGAGGGTATTATATTAAGTGAGATAAGCCAGACAGAGAAAGACAAACACCATATGACTTCACTCATATGTGGAAGATAAACAAATACATGAACAAAGAGAAGAGATTAGTGGTTACCAGAGGGGAAGGGGGCTGGGGGGTGGGCATAAGGGGTAAAGGGGCACATATATATGGTGACTGACAAATAATAATGTACAACTGAAATTTCACAATGTTATAAACTATTATGACCTCAATAAAATTAAAAAAAAAAAAAAAGAGAGAGAGCAGACTAGTGGTTACCAGAGGGGAAGGGGGTGGGGGTGTGCAAAAGGGGTAAAGGGGCACATATGTATGGTGATGGATAGAAAATAGACTATTGGTGGTGAGCATGATGTAGTCTATACAGAAACTTATATACAATAACGTACACCTGAAATTACCTTGTTATAAACCATTATGGCCTCAATAAAATAATTTTTTAAAAAATGAGATATTACCTGAGAGATTTCTTGTTGATATACTGTAAAATGTTCCTTGCTAATCTGTGGGAGGTAGAATGAAGGTATGACTTCAGTGTCCACAAAGTCCAATCCCCATGTTTTTGTGAAGAAGTCAGATTCTCTTTTTGCTAATCTAGGATCATTTAATGCTGCTGGGAGATTTACTTTGGAATGATATATAGTCCATCTATGTTGATCTGTAACTAGAGATGGGGCAACACATAAACTATTTGAATCACCTGCAAAAAGTAAATAAGAGAACTCTGTCAAGTAAGTTCTGTGTTTGAAAGTATACCCTAGAAAAATAAAAATGCTTAGATTCTACTTTATACAAAGCAATTACACTCTCTCTTCAATAGCAAATGTTTTAATAAAAATCAATCTGATTAAAAAACCTTCAGCTTTCAACATCAATTGCCAAGGGGAGGAAAAACACGTACAAGATAAAGGATATGCAAAATTTGAAAGTTGCAGTTGCAGGGTGGGGTGGGTGGTAAAGAAAGTCTTTCATTAATTCTTTTCCTTAATGTACAATTTCTCTCTCTTTTTTCAACGTCAAAACTCTTCTACCTTCTATTGTATATTTTCTATCCTTTAATACTCTAGTTTTTTTCACAGGTAGGCCTTTGTTCTATTGTATTATGGCAGACACTCCTGGTTCCAATATCCTTTGTTTGGCTTATAATTAGATAACATAAATGCTGACGTGGCATTAACCATAGAGGAAAGAAAACTATATAGTTGATTCTTGTTATTCACAATAGTTTTGTTCTATAAAGTCACGGGAACACTTAATTAGCAAATACTAAACCATTGCTCCTAGGGGAAACACAGGGTTAGGTTTCTGTGAGTCTCTGGTCACATTTTCTCAACCAATCAATACATAATCTTGTTTTGTGTGTATTTCTGTTTAAAGACACCTTATTTAATATCTACTGTTCATTCATTAACATTGAACTCACAGCTAACACCACTATAATTCACACCTGAATGAAGCTCCTAGAACATATGTAGTTTTCTTCACAAGGCACATTACAGCCTTCTTGTGCTCAAGAACACTAGAAAGCACTTCAGCACCACATTTGGGAACCACCTTAAATAGCAAAATCACCAACAAAAAGCACAAAAATGCGAAAAACATGGCACTAAATAGACCACAAAAAGGACATGTGTTTACAGCATGACAGCTAAAACAAGAAGGCAGAGTGTTGCCTTTTTCAACCTCAGGTGGGAACGTATGCATTAGGCAATTCAAATTTTTCACTCCTCTGCACATGCCTGCAAATGACCATAAAAATACCACAAGTATTGATTTTGGGGTTACAAACAAATTTTAGGGAGTATGCTAATTTGCAAATACAGAATCCGCAAATAATGAGGACTGACTGTACTATGTTTAACCAAAGAGCTTTCATTCTGCACCTTCCTTTACAAAACTTTTAGTTTATGTAAGTAACTTCTTTTATGGAAATGCACGAAAGAGCTATATTCCAATTTCCCAGTCAATTTACTTCCAAATTACTTATATCTCTTTAGTTTTAACATCATAAAATTTACTCTTTTAAGATAAGTATATGAAATCTGACTACTCAATTAAAGATTATACAAATCCTCAATAAAAATTCTCAAAAAAAAAGGCATTACCTGTGGGTTCCTTGGGACACACATCTGGCAGTGACTGCACAGGTCTGATGTGTTTTGCCGGATCTACCTCTTTTTTAAAGAAAACATCACTGCTGCTTCCTTGAGGCACTGGTGAAGAACTGTGGCTTGAAGCCATTGCATAAGATCACCACTCAACTGAAAATGAGTAACAAATAATAAGACACTAATACAAATCAAAATTCATCTATAAGTATTACGCATGTCACAAACTTTCTTTCAAAAACAGACTCATTATTCAAAATACCTCAAAGTATAAGCACACAATTTGAATACTCACTGTTAACTGTGAGAATCACTCATAACATTTAGTTTGCTAAGAAAGTTATTTGTCCTTGTTTAAAAAGAATTCTCCCCAAAGTGATATATTCTTACTTAGTCTTTTATCCAAAGTGCAAATAGATACCAAAGCTGAAACCGATATATATTAAAGATGAAAACATTTCATTCATTCAACAAGTATGCAGTAATTATGCCCTATAGCAAAATGCTTATGTGCATGGGTTTTTGAAATCTGACTGCCTGGGTCCATATCCCAGCTTCACTTACCAGCAGTATAACCTTAAGGAAATTTACTTAACCTCTGTATGCTTTACCTCATCTGTAAAAATGGAGATGAAAAGAGATCCCATCCCATAAACATTTTGTCAGAATTAAAGGAATGTATACATGTAAAGCATTTAAAACAATGCCTGCCTCAAAGTTAGTATTCATAAACATTAGTTATCATTATGATTATTACTATGTGACTGTCACTATACTAAATGATTATAAAATAAAAGAAGTATCATTCTTCAAAGTGCTTGCAATTCTATTAAGTAATCAAAACACTAAACAAAACACAAGTTAACCTATGTCTACATTTTTTAGTAAGGGCTGAAAGAATCCGTGGGGCAAGGCAACATAATATAGGTTACAGTGTCAGGTAAGACTTTACAAATGAAGCAGTACATAACCTGGATACTGAAGAACATGTATTATTTTATTATTGGAGGGTAGATAATCTTATATCGCTGAGCATATCTATCAAATAGCCGGCATTCAATAAATACTTTTTAATGAAGGAATAAATAAATGCACATAAACAAAAGCTGATAGCTAAAGTGAACTTAGAGATCCCCGAGTCTAAGTTTCCTCATACTAGAGATATGTATAGCAAGGCCCAGAAAGACTAGGTGGTTTACAAAGATACATGTGGTTTAACAAGTTTAAAAAAAAAAAAAGCCAAGTTAGGAAATTTGGTGAACAGAAAAATAAGAAATAAAAAAACAGAGATATAAGGCTAGGACTGGTGACAAAAGTTCATCCACTCTAACTCCTCTTTAGTTTGGTGGAAAGCTAAAAATTACATTTCCCACACTTCCTTGTATTATCTGTCCCAGTTCTTCTAATGCAAAGGAAACACATCCAACTACACCATTCACTGAGACCATAAGAAACAAGCTGCTAAGAAAATACACAAAGATAATAACTTCCTCAAGGTCCGTGAACAGAAAGCAAATAACAGCATGAACAAAGGTTAAGGGGCATAGAATAATCATAAGATTGTGTGGAAACTGACCTGACTAGAGTGAAATGTTTGCATTGGAAAGTACTGACAAATAAATCATATTTACACACACACACACACACACACACACACACAGTATGGCCAGACTAGAGTTGCTTCACACACACACACACACACACACACACACACACACACACGCAGAGTAGGGCGAGACTACAGTTGCCTCTCTAAGCAGTAAGGAGCCTTCAGAGGTTTGGAGGCAAAAGAGTACTATGATGAAAATATCTGGGAAAATTAATCAGCGCCTTGGTTTGAAAGGCATCACTCATCACTGTATTTATATCCATACATATTAAGTGTATGGTTGTTTCTGTATAAAAGCATTAGCACAGCAAATACCTAAAGAATAGGAAACACTGTATAACACAGAATCTTGTACATTAAGTGTTTGGTAAAAACAATTCTAAATTTAACATTAAATATGTTTAACTATTTTATTAATTTCATCAAATAAAATGGCTAACGTACATATTTTGACACTTGAAGAGGTAAGCTACAAATACATGGAAAATACATATATGTTGAAAGCCCATTGCTTGATGTCAGATAAATTAAATATTGACTCCAACAATAGTACACTACTATTTCAATTTATTTTATTTACCATCATGCTGTTTTTACTGGAAAAAGAAATCCTAAGTGCCATCTTAGGTAGCTGGGGAAGATAGGGACTTTTGGAAAAACATTTTTAGACTCCTGTAAGTTATTTCTGTATCTGGGGGGGAAAAACACCTTATTTTCTCTTTAAAGATTCTGAATTGGGAAACATACGCAGGTTTTGTTTTTTCCTACACCTTTCATAATTCTTCTTATGAAAAGAGGGACAATCTCTAGCCATCAAGGGATTATGTAAAATTAAGGGACTGCCTAAATATATGAGTCCCAATTTCCAAGCATTTGACTCTCCATTCCCTTCACCATCCTGAGTTTATTAAGATCTCCTCACAGTAAGAACCAAACTTTGTATTAATGATCACATAACAGGTATGATGCAGACACTTGGTAAGTGCAATCACTGGTAATAAAACATGATGGATTTATTCATAAGGCACAGATGTATAAACAAATACAGCAAATCCACACAGACTCTAAACCAAACCATTTCAGCAAAGAAATAATCTTTTATTGAAAAGCTAAAGAAGAGAAATGATGAAGCATCTTAGTAAGTTTCAGTGTAAGCAAAAATAGTTTGTCTACCCAGAAAAAAAATTAGCAAAAATAAAAACAAACAAAAAACACAGAATACAGGAAAAAGGAAAGCTCTAAGCACTAAATGCAGGTAACCTCTGATTTCAAATAATCTCACCTGTAACTATCATGTAGAAACAAATTTGACATTTAATCAGTGGTCAGGTACAATGACAATCTATAAATATCTCTACTCTTCTTCACATGGTAATCTCATAATTTTATCAATACCATACTCAAATATTATCTTCACCTCCTCCTTCAGTTTCTCACACTTAGTCATTCTTTATGTATTTCTATTTTTGCACCAATCATACGGAAATTTTGGTTTTCATATAGGTCTTCCCTATTAGACTGTGAAATTCTGGATGTTTCCGTTTTCCTGTGTATTCTACACGCCTAGCACATTTCCTGGCAAACAGATAGCACATAATATTTTATAGATGAATGAAAGGGGTGGTATATAGAACAGGAGAGAGAGACATTAGTTAAGACAGCTACCAACAATCCTTGAGTGAATAGATAAAGAGCATGGGTCTGGGCTGATAAGGAAAGGAATAAATAGGGGCCATCCTGGTGCTGTAGCGATTAAGTTTGTGCACTCTGCTTCGGCGGCCCAGCGTTCATGGGTTCAGATCCCGAGCGCAGACCAACACAATGTTTGTCAAGCCATGCTGTGGCAGCGTCCCATATAAAGTAGAAGAAGATGGGCACGGATGTTAGCCCAGGACCAATCTTCCTCAGCAAAAAGAGGGCTAATCTTCCTCAAAAGAAAAAAAAGGAAAGGAATAAATAAACTCATTCATTTCAAAAGAAATAATTTGCAAGGATGAGTAAAACAGAAATATTTGAATTTCTTTCTTGTAGCTCAAAATATCTTTTTATGTTAAAAGTTTAGTTAAAAGCTTCTATTAAAAGGGCCTAGGGCCAGCTCCATGGCCTGGTGGTTAAGTTCAGTGTGCTCCACTTCGGCGGCCCAGGTTTATGGGTTCAGATCCCAGGCATGGACCTACACCTCTCATCACCATACTGTGGTGGCAAGCCACATACAAAATAGAGGAAGACTGACACAGATGTTACCTCAGGGCTAATCTTCCTCAAGCAAAAAAAATAAATAAAAAAAAATAAAAGGGCTTAGAAACATTGTCACTCTAGAAGCAACGAGCACACCAAGTGCTCAGACTATGGTTTCTAAACACTATTCTCCAAAAAGAAACCATGATTCTTTGAAGACATATCTGACTCCAGACTTGGAGCACAGAAAGAACAAGCTGATCCTGAGAACTCAGAAAGCAAGCAAATGTTCTAAGACCAGTAGGGTCTGTCAAAAGGACAAAGGACCAAATTAAAGGGGTTCCCACTGGCCAATTTGGGACAATGTGAGCACCCCAAAGGAAAAAAAAACCTAATTGAGTGCAATACTGAATAAATAAAAATTAATGCATCCATAGTGATTCTTGGGGTGAGGGAGATGAGGAAAAGGAAGTGGGGTGGGGTGGGGAAAGGAAATCTCTTATCTTTACAGAAGAATGCCAGTAATAAATGTAAAGGAATGACTGAATTAGAAAATCACCATTTTGCAACCCCCAAGGTAAAAACAGACTCAGGAAAAATCATCAAAGTACGGTAAGCCATTAGGTGAAAGGTTGTTCAGAAACAGAAAACTCACCTGGTACCAAAATATTACCCACAGATTACTTAGCAATGCAAAGGGAAAAATGTATCTTTAAAATGGAAAGATCTAGTTGTCACCACCTTAACTAAATCATCAAACTTGGCATCAATGATAACAGCAAGATAACATTATTATGTGACTCATGAAATGACAATATAAAATAAACATCACCTATGAAGCATTCTCACCAAAAATGTTTAACCCAATCTAATAAAGGCTGTAGACCAGAGGTTAAGCTATTTTGTTCTATGGATGCCTCTGGCAATCTGGTAAAGCATATGGATCTCTTCCCAGAGTAATGTTTATAATGCATAAAATACATGTGATTACAATGGACAATTATACTGAAATATAGCTATCAAACTATCTCTTAAAATTGTAATATAGTAATATTTTTGCTTCTTGATTAATGCAAATCTATCTTAATTTCTGAAATAAATGAGTATAAATATTTTGAGATACCTGCAACACCTTAATGTGATATGAAAATATCTGAAATTCCTATTGGTGACAAAGTTACAGGTAGTGCTAATATCCTTGTGAAGGATTTCCTACATTCACAATTAAAGGAAATGCTAAAACCCAGTTAAAGTAGGGTTTCTCAACCATGGCACTATTGACATTTTGAGCCCGATAATGCTTTCTTGTTGGGAGCTCTCCCTCTGTACATTGTAGGATCTTTAGATGTGTTCCTGGCCTCTATCT